CACTGCAGAGCTGTGCCAAAGAGAATGGCTGACATTTGTAGAGAACTTACTATATACCAGACTCTCTATGAGAGTCTTGTGTGAGTTCATCTCACAAAATGTTCCTTGTGACTGTGTGACAGAAACTGCAAGCATTTATCCACACATTTATCCACCTTTCACGGATGCAGTAACTGAAGCAGGGAATGGCTAAATAGTTTTCCCAAGATCACACAGCTAGTAACTGTTACAGTCAGGATGTACAAGCGTGCCTCCAACTCCCCAGGACCCTGCTCTTAATCACAGTGTTATGCTTCTTTACATGCAAAATAATAGTTTTATGGAACATCATTAAGATTTACCTGCAATAAAACTAATTTTGTTACCTTCTAATTTGTAACTGTTTCCTCTTGAAACAAGCATATTTACCTGAATAAATTTCTGATCTTATACTAAACATCAGAAGTAAATTACAACTGTGTTCACAGGGATTATCCTTACAAACAGATTTGGAAATTTGCATCTTACCAATCCTTGAAACCACTGCTTTAAATCTTTTTGACACTGAGCAGAGCATAAATAGCAACACAATGCAATGTGTTAATATTTGCTCAGAGTATCTGAGATAAGTCTGCTACTGTCCAAAGCAATGAGAAAATGATGTGTGAGCCAGACATTTCATATAGTTAACAGTGAGAGAAAAAAGCCAACACAGAAACAGCTGAAAAACCTTTTAATCACTACTTTAGCTATAATAATGTTGTGTAACATTAAGTGTTTAGGCAGAGAAAATCCCACTGAGTTGTAGCATCCACTCCTAATTCTGTAGCTTTCTAGTAAAATATAAGTAGGGCCACGGATTTAGCTCAGTGGGGCATCACGCCAGCCTTGCAAGCTCAAGGTCCAGAGTTTGATCGCTGGTATAATAATAATAATAATAATAATAATAATAATAAGGCAAGTAGAAGTATTGGAAGGGGAAAAAATGGCAGTCTAGAGAAAAATTCTTCTGAGGGCAAATTCCCTTGCATGACTGTGTGTTCTTGGCTGTGAAAATTGAGGACTCAAGTTTCTCTTCTCAGATGTCCCATTATAAACACTTAGGTCATGATTTTAGAAGTAGTATAATTTACAAAGCGCAGTCCAGACTGCACAGACTCAAATGCTACTTCGTTACTGGGGCTATTTTATCTTTGATAAACCATCTTATTTATCTTCATAAGCACTTCATTAAATATCACTCTATCTCAAAAAAGAAAAATTCAGCATTAAAACAACTAAGCAATTCAACAGCTCAATATAATACATAAACTTTGTAATAAAGCAAAAATAGTCGCTTGATTAGATTCTGTAATTTGATTACTGACATCATCTTTACTTGAATAGCACAAGATGCCTAGAACCTAACAATGTTTAGGAAAGCAGATTTACTAGGAATGTTCAGAAGCAGTTTCCTGCTTTATTTATCCCAGATTAATAACAGTTAAGTTGCCTAGCTTCATCCAGAAAAGGCTTTTTCACTTTTTTCTCAGCAAGTTGGAGTTTATGGAAGTCATTGCATGAATACACTTTATTATTCCAGTTTAACCCACATTTGAAAAAAAAATCAGTGCTTTTTCACACTAATTGTTGCATCATGCATTTGTTTAGAAAGAACAATGGGGTCATAAAGATGTTTTAATCTAATATTAATCACAATAAGCTAATATTTTCTCATATTCACAAATTTGCATATATTTTCTTGGTTAGGTTTCTTCACCCAGACAAAAACATTTTTAAAAGTCACTGATTTAAAGAAAACACCCTATTGGCTTATGTGGATCCACACTCCTCACTCTCCTATTTATAAACAAAGAATCCGATCCTGCTTGAACAGATTTTCTTTTTCAGATTCTGTGTTTCAGTCTTCTTCCTGTGTTATTTTTATGTGCCTCTTTAAGCCATTGTTGCATGTCTCAAGTTAAAAGAGCACAATTTTCTCTGATTTCACACTTTAACGTGAATTTGTAAATGAATTGCAAGAAATTTCATAGGAAAACAAAGTCCACTTTTCTGTGGATGGTGAAAAGGTTGGCAGCCCGTCCAGGTTACTGTCTGCTTGTCACCAGTGCAAAGAGAGAACACTATCACCTACAAAGGTATTAGGGAAATGGTCCCAGATGAAAGCATTTATCCAATTTCAATTGTTTGAAAGTTTAAAATATTGAGGACGATATGGTTCCAGGAGCTACTGTTTAAAATAATGCAATGCCTGTTCTGAGTGAAAACTCAGTATTTGAAAATCTGAGTTGGTTTAAAAAACAGTAAATGTGTATCCAAAAAAGAATTCCTAAAAAAGCATTCATATGCTAGGCACATGTTTTTAATTTTTAATACATTGGCTTACCTAAATAAATATGTAGAACCTAATACTGATTCCTTATAGTTTGATTTTTAAAATATTATGTTTTAGTGGGTTTGCAAAAAAAAAGCTAATGAATAGTAATGCAGAAATACATTTATCTGTCAGTATCAAGTTGCAGTGGTATATGGGTTTTGCAAAATGCTGTGCTAAACAAAATTTCTGAGAAAAAGTAATTGAAAATCTGGGCATGGTGGCATATGCTTGCAATCCCAGCCCTTGGGAGGCTGAGGCAGGAAGATCACTTCATCTTAGAGGCCATCCTGGGCTACACAGTATGTTCAAGGTCAGCCTAACTACATAACAAGGCCCTGTCCAAAAAAAAAAAAAAAAACTCCCAACAAAAGTAATTTAAAACTGCTTTGGTTTTAAAAGAAATTAATGTAGCCATATCCTTACAGGATAATGTCAGATAAAAAGTAACTTTGTTCCCTGTACAATTGTTTGTTGGCATTTAGATGAGAATAATAATGTTTTAAGGTCATTTTCATAGTTGTTCACTTAATGTAGGATTAACATCAACATCTTCATAATTATCTGAGATCACCCATTTGAAAGTAGTATGGCAAGACATCTTAATGGTTAAGGCATTGAAGTAGTTTTAATACTAAATAGATCAACTATTATGTGAAAGTAATAGTATAATTTGTGCACTGAACAATATTCCAGACCAACTCTCTTGATAAGAAGATAATTCTTATGAAATAGTCCCTTTTCTAGCAACTGCTTCTTATTTGTTGAAACACTAAGTAATCAGTTGGCTAGAAAATTATAGAACGATACACACAATGACTATGTAGACCACAAGTATTCTATGGTTTTGTTGTTGCACAATTTTATGAAGTCATTATAAATGGCACTGAGAGCCAGGCGTGGTGGGGCCCACCTATAATCCCAGCCCTCGGGAGGTTGAGGCAGGAGGATCGCTGTGAGTTTGAGACCAGCCTGGGCTACACAGTGAATTCCAGGGCAGTCTCAACTACATAGTGAGACCCTGTCTCAAAAAACCAGAAAAAAAAAAAGGGCACTGAGATTTGCTTTAAATAAGAAAAACAACTACATCAGGAGGATGATATAGAAAATGAAGTTGGAATTCAAATGGGATTATGGGACTGAGGATTTAGCTCAGTGTTTCCACTGCCTCCCTGGCAAGTGCAAGGTCCTGAGTTCAATCCCCCTCACCAAAAAATAGGGGAGGGGGATTATAAACCAAAATAGTTTTAAGTATGAAAGAAATTGCTTATTGGCCAGAATGGCTATAAATTAAATTTCTGACCAGAAACAAACAAATGTAGGTCTGCAGCTTACACATTCTTAGAGAATAAAGAAGCATATTTTAATATGCACTGAAAAGTTTTTCTCACCAAAATCTTTCTCTGCCCACCTCCCTCAGAAGTAGATAAGACAGAAAAAATGGGTTTTCATTTAGATAGTAATATGAAATCACCAAATAATTACCCAAGTCATCCCCATCTTTCTTAGTCCGTGTAAGAAGCAGGCTTCACATCAAAGTCCTTATAATTTAATAATCCTTGTTACACACTGAATGGGTGGAGTGGGACATGAAGCTTTGGAATTTAAATGAATGTAACAATGCAGGTGCCTCCCCCAAAAGACACAGAACTCCTTAAAAGACAGTATCTTATAACCAGCTGTGCTTGAAACTTCGGGTGGAGTTGGTGAAGACTTAAATCATGTTGTTTCCACTTATGTAGAGAGAATCCATAAAAAGAGATTTATCATATTTTCTTTTTGAAGTGTAGTATTTGCTTTTTACTTTAAAAGTGCTCCTCAGGATAGAGCAGAGTAAATATTACAATTTTGTTCAGCAGCAGCCAAGATTTAATTGTCTGTGAAATAGAAGGCTTAGGACCTGATTTGCGTTCACTACTGTTCTGCTGATACAAACTAGGCTCGCCCGGGCGGTGAGCAAGTCACCAAGAAGCTGATTTACACCGAAGAACTTCCCTGAAAGAATTCAAAGTAGGCTGGAGGCAGCCACATGCCTGCAGGAGCCCATCCAAAGGATTTGGGATTGAGTTCTACAAAAAGTCAAACAAGAATAAGCAGCTATGGAAAATACAACAAATCATGCTAGCAGTTTTACAGCAAGCGTGAAGGGGAAATGCAGTAACCGCTAACATATACCGAATAAAAACGGACCGAAGGCAGAAGAGAGAGGAAGGGGGGCGCGGGACACAACGGAAGCTGGGAAGGACGCCCGGCTGTTTTCCAAACGTGAATTGCACTCTTTCTTCTTCTGTGTACCTCAGCGGCTTGCGGGAGTTGAAGTCTGTCTCCTTCAGCACTGCCCTGCGCGCCCCTGGCGTGAAGCTCGGGCAAGGCCGCCCCGCGCGC